GTTTCAGCAAGCAAGGTTGAATCATCTGCATAACGCAGATTGTTGATGAGTCTTCCTTCTGTCCTGATGCCACATTTCTCCTACTAAAGCCCAGTCTCCTGGATAATCTGTTCTGCATATAGATTGAAAAGTACGCAGATACTAGTGATTATAATCACATTAGTAAGAAATGAAAGGAACAGGCGGGGGGGGGGAATCTTATTAAAACTAAGTATTCTGTACAAGATATCAATTTATCTATACATATGTTGTTGTTGTGATCACTGAGTCATACTGGAGACTACCCATCTTTCTGCAGCAGAGCAGCTGGTGGATTTGACCTGTGTGCCTTCAGAACTGCAGTGGAGCTTTTCGCCAGTAGGCCAGAGTGCTCCCTATTTATACATGTCCTATCCGACTCTTACCTCCTCAAGTAAACTCAAGGGCCCTGGGCCTTTTTCATTTAAAAAGTATTATCCAAATTACTTAAGTATTTGGAAGGTTAAATAAGATACATATGTATTTAAGACATTTTCAATAGGTTTAGTGTCATGGTGACAGAAATAAGGCTGGACATAAAATGATTTAATGTTTTATGTTCAATGATTTATTCATGACAAATATCTGTTTTTAAAAAAAACCACACAAAAGACTACTTTACACATGCACCTCACCTGCTGGACTGCTCAGGCATCAGACTGACTACATCTGTAGAAAGAGACATTGGAGAAGTTCAGTATCAGCAGTCCAAACCAAGCCAGCTGCTAGAATAGACCATAACATACTCATGTGCAAGTTCAAACTGAAGCTGAACAAAATGAACCAAAATATGACCTTGAGACTCTCACCTGAATTAAATTATCTCCAGGATAGCTTTGAGGCAATAAATACTAATGATCAAAGACTTAATGAGTTAAGGGATGACACCAAAGACATAATCCCTGATGAAAATAAATTGTTGTTAAAAAGGAAAAGATTAAAAGGTATGTCAGAAGGGACTGAAAAACGGCACTAGAGCATCCAGAAGCCTAAATAAAGGGGGGAAATGCTGAAGAAAAGAGATAAAGATTCCAATGGCATCTTGAGAAGACAAAGCAAATGTGCAAAAAGCTCAAGGTGGAGAATGTAAAGGGAAGAACTCACTTGGCATTTCTCAAATTGAAATAAACGAAAAATTCAAGCCTTGAGCTGCAGTACTGAGAGATACTATGGGCAAACTCTCGAATAATCCAAGAAGCTTCAAAAGAACATGTAATATATTCACTGTACCAAAAAGAATCGGTTGACAATAAGCGCAAGACCCAATGGTAACGAAGGAAGAAGTTCAAACTGCACTGAAGGAATTGGGGGGGGGGTGGGGGGAAGATCCTAGGAACTGATGAGATATGAAATGTTTCAACTAACAAATGCAGATCTGGTTGCGCTTACCAGTTGTGCTAGCAAATTTGGAGGACAGCTGCTTGACCAGTTGACTGGAATTCCCTATTTGTTCCCATTCTCAAGAAAGGTAACCCAACATAAGGTTGAAACTACAGAATTATCACTAATATCACATGCAAGGAAAATATTGAAGATCCTAAAAAATGGCCAGAAGAGTACACGGAAAGAGAATGGTCAGTTCAAACTGGGTTTAGAAGACAGGGCACTAGGGATATCACTGCTGATGTCAGATGGATCCTGGCTATTAGGGACTGCTCAAGAGTACTAAATAACATCAGTCTAGAGACTAAGGTGTGTCTGATCCAGACTATGGTCTTTGCAATTATTTGCTATGCACCAGAGAGCTGGACAATGACCAAGGATGACAGAAGACAGACTGATGCCTTTGAGTTGTGTGCTGGGGAAGTACTGAACATTCCATGGATGGCCAAGAGAATAAACAGGTTTGTCCTGGGGACTATGAAACCAAGTTGTTCCTTAGAGGCAAAGATTCTGAAGCTCTGTCTCACAGACCTTGGGCATGTTGCGGGGAGGGCGGGGGGCCAGTCCTTGGAGGACATCATACTTGGAAGTGTGGACACTGCAAGAGAGGTAGATCCTGGAGTAGATGGCTTGACATGGTGAGGTAATGGGGTTCAATGTGTCACAGACAGTTAAGACTGGCTCAGGATAGGACGGTTCAGAGCTATTGTGTATACAGTTGCAGAGTCAAAGGTGGGTTGACAGCACATAACGACATTGTTTTTATGTGCTTTTGAGTCAGATCTCCTTACTCTCTAGACCCCGAGTTCCTTAGGCAGATAAAATATTCACTTACTAAAGTAGGATGAAAATAAACCTCAAAATTAAGTAATAAGGATACATTTGGGGGGCAGTGAAAAATACATAAATGCTTTTCATCAGTAATAATTTAACTTCTAATTTATGTTTGAAAATGACTGTGGGTTAACTTTAATGATGCTCATAAAGAATGCTGACATTGTGCTCTATTTCCTGGTAACAGGAGGGGAAAAAGCACTAACAAAGGGTACTGTCTGCGGCAGTCTTGTTTTAACAGACAATACAGTTTTTATATGCCAAAAAACCTGAACCCCTAAAATTTTTAAAATCTTGTTTAAAATATTTTTTCTCCAATAAACCATTATTTACTATAGTCCAAAGTTAAGAATGTGCTTAAGATCAAGAAACATACAAAACACAGTTTGCAGTAAATAGAATTTTTCTAGAGAATTTGAACCAAGCCAAGAAGTAACTAAAAGTCCCTTTCATGTTATACAAGGGGTGGGCAGGACCCATTTGAAAGAGAAAAATGTAGTGTCAAATTTTAGGGCCATCTTGGAGAAGCTGTCATTTGCTGTCTTCTATGTTCTTATTTGAAAAAGCAATATAAAACCATAAAAATAAGTAAAAATTATATTTGTCAAAGAAACAAACAAGTTTATCAGGTACATTATGAAATATAAAGCGATAAAATGCTAATAATACAGATTAGATATTTAGAAGCATGAAGCATAAGCAATTTTATTCCTAGTATGAATTTCCTTATTAAATGTAGTTATTAACAGCATAAAGAAACCAACACAATTTTCTAGAAAACTTAAAAACCTTTACTTAGATGATAAATAAAATTTCACTGTCCCCAAATTTGAACATTTCAAAGCGTTAAATGCTGGCTAAAAAACTATAGGTGGTAATAACAAAAGAATCAAAGCAGATTTTCAAAAGTGGTTTTAGCTGTTGGAAGAACGTAGTTATCTTAAGCAAGAATGTTATGTTTAATGGCAAGATACAATTGCTTCTTTACTTTAGAAAAGCTCAATTTAGTGGAAAAGATCATTGTTTTTACAACCATTTTAATATTTTCAATTCCTTTTCTCCTTAAGAAAAAGTCTTCAAAATTCCAAGGGTAGGGCATAAATTTTATATGTAGCAATAGCTACACCCAGTGGTCAGAGATAAGAAGTGAAGTTTTCTGTTCACGTAAGCGTTAAAAAGTGAATTTGGATAAATTCAGGGTAGGGGTAAATTTTCACTACAAATTAAATATGTTAAGGAAATAAATACTTAAGCATCTTCAGGGAACAAAGACCTTGGTGAGTAAATCTGATTTCGGTGTCAAATAATACAGTAAACTAAGCAGCTAAAATAAAACTCAAAGCAGCGAGAACAAACAGATTCTTTATTGCTCATCTTTCACACAAAGCACACCTCCAGCCATTTCTTTCACAGCTTGACAATGTTTACATTTACAAAATCCCAGCAAGAAGTGTCATGAAGATTTTAGCTTAAAGGAGAATGTAAAACATCAACTCAGCTAGGCTTTCGTTTTCTGCAGCAATAATAAAGGGCCTCCTGCACTAAGCAAAACTCTTCTCTTCTGACTTGGTAGTGCATTTCTTCCATTACAAAAAAAGTCTCCTGCCCCAAGCAAACTCACTTGTATTTGCTGAGCCAGTGGTATTAACTCGTGCATAAAACAAAACTCAGTTTGCTGTTTCTTCTGGCATATTTCAAGTAAAAACAAGGCTGAAGGAGGAACTTGTTTTGGATGGATGCAGGTCAGTTTGAATTACTAAACTTATCTAGATTCCTACGTGGACTATAGGTTCACAACGTAGTTTGTTTGTATAACCTTTACAGATTTGGCCGTGTCCAAGGTTTGCAGAGTGGAGCGTATGGTCAGTATTCCATCATCAGGATAAGGGTACTGAACTTACTGAATGTGCTATCTGCAGAAGAGCTCATTTAATAGGAACAGACTTAAAAGGTCTATTATGAACCAAACGTGGCATAGCCTCTGAATTAAAAAGGCAGCCAAGGGCGTTCGGTGCTTGGAAAATAAGTATGAGAACATTTGAAGTAAAACTCATATAAATGGACTGTTCATATGAGGAAAGCTTCCTAGATGCAAATATAAAAAAAGAAAACAAATCAAAACTAGGTAAATCCTCATTTTGAAAACTGCATATTGAAAACTACTTTATTCAAGTAATTTCTTCAAAAACCTAAGAATTTTCTGACTGTGGAATTAGTCTACTGGTCAAACAAAAAAGGCAACTTTTATTACCTTTTTTAAAAATTCTTCATACAAAGGAGAGATGTATTGTGTTTCTCAAATAAACAGTATTGTGTAAGTCCATTAAAAATTCTACAGAACTGAATGATAACTGATGCCAAGCAGGACTCCGCCTGCCACCTGTGGTCTCACATTAATTCAAAACAGATTCTGGATTCAAGGTTCTGAAACTAAGTTTCTATTACTTGAGCTCTAGCAAAATACAAGGTTCTGTAGCCTCAACTAGTATAATGTCTACCCTGTCCAAATCCAGAGTGATTATACTGGTAACCTCCATGCTGGAAGTGCTGTTCAAATTGCCCCCCTTGGTGGTAATTCTGGCCCCCTCTTCCTCCCCAGCCTCCCCCCTGACCTCCACGCCCACCACGGCCTCTGCGCCCACCTCTCCCTCCGCGTCCACCACCTCGATCACCGTGGTGCCCACCGTCTTGGTATCTATTGTCCTGCTGGTACCCACCACCCTGGTATCCACTTCCTGTGCATGAAGATGTCTGGAAGCCACTGTAACCACCACCTTGATAGGCACCACCGTGGCCACCGTGATAGCCACCTGGTTGGAAGCCCGAATCTCGGTAACCACTGTCTTGGTAGCTGCCTCCCCCTCCCCCTCCACTCCCCCCATCTGTCCAGTCGCCTTGATGCTTATTTCCTCTTCCTCCCCCTCGACCACCATGGTCATAGCCACCGCGGCCACCTCTCCCTCCTCCTTGTTCATGGCCGCCTCGGCCTCTGTATGAGGAATGTTCATAGCCACCTCTCCCTCCTCGGCCTCCTGCTTGCTGCTGGGGGCCGTCTTGTCTTTTCTGCCATGGTGGCATCTCTGGGGGTGGAGGTTCAATTTCATTGGGTCTACCGCCTCTGTCAGGCACCCTGCCCATCAACACCTAGGGATGAGAGAGACATTTTTAATCTATTTTATAAACAAAGAGATGCAGATGCCACAAAAAGAAAGGTACTTTAATCACCTTATTGATGGCACAGGCAGTCTTTTCTCTAATAGAGCCACTGCTTGTCCTTAAAATCTTTGATAAATCTTGTCTTGCAGCCAAAAGATGAGCAACTGACACCGTACTTTTAGGAGATAAGACTGAGCGTTTTGGCTGGTAAACTTTTGCTAATTTTTCTGTCTGACTCTGTTGAAAGAAAAACGTTCAAAGACAAATGTCAGTTTTCAAAATGACATTAAGAAACACAGTAAATAAATATATGTTAAAGAAAACCAAAATGTCTGATAGTACTTTGTCTGACAGTGAAAATATTCACTGGGTTACTGGATTCCAGATGGTGGGAAAAAATTATATACTCACCAGTGCTCCTACCTAGTCAAGAATTACCTTACAGGTGCCAGACTTGATACAGCAAAGACTATTGTTGGGAAAGGGGGGACAGGCCTAATGTGAAAGTAGAGGTGTGAGGGAAGGCATAGCTGGGTTTCCTTATAGGACTGTGGGGCTAAGAGGGTATAAAGTCTTCTCTGGCCACTAATCTCACTACCCCAGTATCAATGAAATGCTAGCTGTGAATAACTTGTATTATGCAGTTAGTATATGTGTTCCTTGAAAAATGCTCCCTCATTAAATGCATTCTTTTATTATAAATACATAATTAAAAAGGATCTGTTTTACCTGAAGAGCAGCATTTATTAACTAGAGAGAGACAAGAATTTACTGAAAAATTGGGAAAATTGGGCAAGTCCCTAAATTTACGTACCTTAGTTTTTGGATTGGGATAATGTGACCAAAATAAAGCAGCTCACTTACAGCATTCTTATGAGAGAATGAAGATGGGATAGCATTGGTACACAAGTACTGGCACACAAAATATTTAGTGTGTGAAACCCATCTACTGGAAGCAGTCAATATAATGTTGACTAATAGAATTACTCAATGATTTAATAAAAATATGCTGAATAAAAAAACTTTCCAAACCTATAATGGGACAGAATAACTGAAATTCAGAATAAGAAAATGTTGAACACGCAATGATTAGAGGTAGACTGATTTAAAACGCAGTTTGTTGAATTCAGAAACAAAGTTGAAGATAAACATTTTACAGGAGAAAGAGGCAAACGAAATGAAGTCTCATTTTCAATGTTAATACTGTCATTTCATGTTCAGATGAAGTCTCATGTTCAGTATCAATACTGTCACAGAAGACAATATAATTTACTCCTGATGTTTATTCCTACTAACTAGCTATGACATTTTAGGTGGTCTCCATTTTTCTGGGTCTGCAATCTCTTACGTGCAAAATGAGGCGAGTTAAGATGGATTTCAACATTGTCCTTTGAGCGCTAAACTACTCTAACTGTAAATATATACTCCAAAAATTTAATAGATACTTCACAGCCACTCAGTCCATTCTGACTCAAAAATTCTATATATAATTGAGCTAAGCGTTAAAGATTTTAGGTGACATCGATATATAACTACTAAATGAAAACTTACTTTCTGAGTCAATTAAAATTCAGAAAAAATCTATTTTCAAAGCTGTATGATTACTAAGGAAATATCTAATACAAACACATCTAGATCAATCTGAACATAAATTCAACTCACAGTTCCATTTCCGCCTCTGAAAACCTACTGGAGGGTCAGCTATCAGTCGGATCAGACTGAACAGCAATGAGGATTTTTCTGAGTTTGAGACAGTCAAAGCTACCAAATGTGACAATTAATTCCCACTTAGTGGTCAAAACCAAACCAAAATAAAAATTAGTTGCTACTGAGTCTATTATAAGTTAGGGAGGCATATTTAGCAGGTATAAGCTAAAATAAAAAATTGAACCTCAAATTCTCTAGAAAAGATCATAATATTTGAACACATTCAATCTAGTATTTCTAACTTCATTAAACAAATTTATAGTATAATAAGCAAACAAATAATGTAAAAATAGAATTTATTATTTAGATACTGTTTTTCCATAAATAGGTATTTCCAATAGGACCATAAATTCTGTTTTCTTGAAAACTAATTCTGTTTTCTTGAAAACTATCAGTAAGATGAAAAAGGAATGTTTCTGTTACTGCTGAACAGTTCAAACAACTGTTAACAAGTCACTAAGAAAAACGTCTGTGTTGTGTTTTTTTTTTTCAGTCTCTATCTAACCTTAAGGTAGGGATGCCTGGAGATCATGTCTATAAATAATCTGCTCTTTTAAATTATTTACTGCGTACCTTAGCTCTGTCAGACCAGCCAAAGGACTGCACAGTGACATCCAACCGTTTTATTAGCAGCTTTCTACGAACTTCATACTCATTGGCTATGGCTTGATTAATTGCTTCAATCTTTTCCTGAAATAAATAATTTTAAAAAATCAGTTAAAATCAGTTTGATCCTGTATAAAAGTACAGAAAAAAAATTTGTTCCCAGGACTTTGCACATGTGATTCCTTCCACAAAATAAACAGTTAAAATGATGAGTAAAACAATGTTAAGCCTCAAAACATAAGAAAAAGCATATAAAGTGTATGGTTCTCACTTCACTTTCCTGTAATTCACTGTATAAAGCCCAGCCAAATGCAGTTTTTGGTTTATAAACAATACATTTGGCAACCAGAAAGGTACTTATACTTCTCTTCAACTTATTTTAATTAACTGCATGAAATACTTAAAAACTGAGTTAAATGTTTCTCATCTTACAAAAGTAAAATTATTCTACGTAAACTTTGAAATGGGGAAAAAAATGTTTATTCTATTTGTCCAAGAAACAAACTATACACATTAGAGAACATATGTTAAGAAGAAAAAATTACGGGCACATCTTACTCCATTGTTTATGGATTTCTGTAGTTACTAAAGTTTTTATAAATTAAAGGTTTGCAGTAAACCTGTCTTAAAAAAGCCATTAGTGCCATTTTTCCCACTTTGTGTGTCTATCATTTTGGCAACTCAACAATACTCTAAACTCTGTAAATTTAATAACTATAAAATTGGGTGTGCATAAGCTTTCCTATATACTAAGAAAGGAAAAAAATGAAAAAAAAAAAAAAAAGAAAGGAAAAAAATGTATGTGACTTGCTATATACTGTGATAATCATTTTACTACCGTGGTCCAGAACCTAACTTGTAAAATCTGAGGTATAAATTTTATATGATGTATAAATAAATAAATGATAAATTATATAATAAAATAAATATTATCAAATAAATGATGTATAAATTTTAACATCAAAATTATGAAATAAACATACAACTCCTTACAAATTTCACTGAAGATGATGGATCACTACTTACCCAGTGGACTGGCCCCATTGGCTTCTTTAATAAAGGCTTTCCCACATGATTAGGTGGAACTTTTGCTAACGTCTCCTTTAACTGACACAAAACCATAAATACATATATTAATAAATTTAAAAGTAGAACATATATCCTACTTTTCTTCCCAATCCCCAATCAAGGTATGGTAATATCTTGCCATCAAATGAAGATTTCAGACAGAGGTTAAGAGGTTAAGGTAAAGAGGACATTTTGAAATGCAGAAGACCTATATGAAACAGCATTCACTTGCCCCACTCCTCACGAACCTAGAAAAGTATGATTTCTTCAAGGCTTTTAGCAGAGTACCTAACAGCAGTGGGCACTCAGTGAATACTTGCTGAATGGATGCAAAAGCAAACACAGAAAACCTGGACGATGGACACAGATGATTCCCTATCGTGGTCCACCAATTCTGTGTACTATGCTGTGCCACCCCACAAAGCAAATGTACCAGCTCTTAAGAGTCCAGCAGACACGTACATGGAATACTTTCATTACTCTAAATATGTCTAGCTTCTCCCTACTCATTTTTAAAATTGAAATTACTTGTTCCAATTAAACTATATGAAAGCTCTTAACTGTTAAAATATAAAAATAATTCTGGTTTATTTTCATATATAAGCTTGTATCAGTATTCAGTACTTCTGGTAGGCCAAATCAAACTAGTAAAGCTTGAAGTGACTAGATTAAAAAGAAAATAATTTTTAAAAAATCATTAACATCTTTTTCTATCTAGTTAATGGGGAATGTTAGTAACATTTAAGGCAAAACACTTAATAATATATTAACTGTATTAAAGTTTGGTGATAAGATACTTTCAAAAAAAGGACAATTTGCATCTAGTGTATTTCAGTTTATAAACTAAAAGAATAAAGATTTATTTTCCAAAGAAACAGAAAACATGTAAAAAAACACACAAAAGTATTATTTATTTTTAAAACAAAAAATAACAGAATTGTTTCATTTAAACAAATGTAGTTCTATGCCTTTAATACACTATAATCTGGTACTAAAGGTCTTACTTTTTTCTCAATCCCGCTGAAGAATTGGAACATAGTTATACTGGCTGGAGGTTTGGACATTCCTAGAGCAATACATATGCCTTTTAACTCTTGAAAGACCTCACTAGCGCCTCCTTCTGGAGCTTGTTTTGGAGGAGCATTCACACAGAGCATTCTGGCAGCTTCTAGTTCTGAGATGAGGTATGCTGAAGTAAACAAAATAAGATTTAAAAATGAGATACAGCTAGAGTTAGATAAATCTTGGGTCATACACTATATTATCTATTATGATATAAGTTTTAAAGCTGCAAGAATGGATAAAAACAAGGAGACCAAACCACTGTTACTTGCAAATAACATTACCACAAAATCTAGTTCTGTAAATGAGCTATTCATCCAAGATATAATTTATAGGGGCTGATTTAAAACTAAGACATTCTCCTTAGAAAATCAAAAGCTTACAACAGATGGGAACTGTAAGTTGGGTTCTTGAGTTACATGATTAAGAAAGAAACCTTCAGAACAGAAGTTAGCACATCTTAATATATTTGCAAAAGATGGCAGGTGGTCAATTTTCAGTGAGAAAAGGCTACATGTTTTTACTTTTCACCATTTATAAGGACCATTCCTATAATCACCCTGTCCACCTTCTTCCCAATACTAAAGGAGCACACCCAGAACTGTTTTTGACATTTCAAATTAATTCAACTTTAAATAACATAAGCCACATAAAGTACAGTGAGAAGCCAAAAGTCTCCTTCCATGATCCCTAGTATCTTAACACCATCAGCTTCTTTCTGGTTGTTCAAGGAAAACAGTTTTAGGTATTCAAAGAGCTGTCTCCTTTGAACATCCATTCTCTCTGTGCATGAGGGAAAACGCTTCCTTCCAGTATCATTCCCATGTGTAGACTTCAGCCAGTATGACAGCTGCAATATGCTTCAAGTAATTCTACTTGAATCAGATACTTAAATATACAATCTTCAACTATTAACCTTCCAAAGGACATTTAAATTTTCAGAAAAGATTATCAGTAATTATTTGACTGTCAGAATTTCAGGTTATATGGTAAAAGAATATGCTTTAGACAACATAGACATGACAGGACAGCTTTAGGCAAAAACAAATCTTTCTAGGCCCTTGAATTCAATTACAAGAGTAAAACCAACTTGAGTATCTCATTTCCACAATAATGGTGACATGCTGGGAGGCACAGGAGTCATAATTTTGGCAAAACAGCACTAAAAAACTGCTGACTCTTGTAATAATAAATACAGCCACGTTTCTGGAAAGATTAAATAGGCTTAAAACCCCCCCTCCCATATTATTTGATATAGCAAATTGAACTAACATATGAAAGTTACACATAGACACAAAAATATTAACAGTTTAGCCTCACTGGGTGTATGTGTGTGTGTGTGTGTGTGTACACACACACACACACACACACACACACAGTCATTGTTTTATTTGTATATTCCCAAATAGCACATACCCTTATAAATAATCACATATATATTTGAAGGGCATAAATGACAAAATTATGCAAAAATAATTCTACCATAGTATGTTCATACCTAAACTGCAAATGTCTTGTGACAAATCTAGAGGTAAATTTTAGCTTCATTCTATAGTGTAAAATGGTACTTTGGATCATATCTGTATAATAAAAGTATAAGCTACAGTCAAGAAGTCATAGATCAAGTTTGCTAGCTATCCTAGAAAGAAGAAAAAAACACATATATCTGCATTCAGGACAGTTTTGGAAATGGGTGGGAGGTTGTGCACAGTATGTACATGTGAAAACATGTAAAAACAATTGGCTTAATATTTATAAAAATATTAACCAGGTTTATAAAAATGATGCATGAGGGCTGTACGGTCCGCAACAATGTACTGCGAGCACTACATGAATAAAAATAGGCAAAAAGTTTAAATGGGACACGGCCATCTTTCTTCACTTAAGTACAGTCTATTGCTGGTTTCTGTGCTACAACAGCAGAATGTGTAGCTGGAGTTGGGACAGAGCCTTGATGTGGCCCAGACAGCCTAAAACATTTACTATCTTTTTCTTTAAGACAGTCTGCTAACTCCGTTTCAGTACTGAAGATGAAATTTAATCAACGGGTTCTCTAAATTTAGAACACCTTAAAACAACTAAGCACAGATATTCACAAAGTGAGTTGAGTAAATAATTACATGCAGAAAAATTGTATGTAAACAACTACAGAAATCATAACTCTACTGACCATCTAAATGAGAATAAAGAATGTTTATGTAGGAATATATTACTAGAAACTCAGATCTGACTTACTGTACCTACGAGAAGGCACCTGAGAGCCACAAAGGCCAGCGAACAGCCAAAGCAAAGTTCTTAACCTGAGTCGCAAGCATTTCACTCACTCAAAAACTATTTTTCTAAGAATTTTAACGAAGTTTGTTCATTTATTTCTCCAAAACACAACGCATTAAAAGTACCAAATTGGCCAAGATAAGCGTGCTGGAAGTAAGTGAAATATGTAGCATCAAGATGGGACAACAAATATTTGGAAAGATAAGAATTATTTACAGAGTAGTTAAAGAATATTTACCAATACTAAAATATAGAGGAGGCAGAGATTACGAGAATAATGTAAAAAGGAAAAACAGGATCAACAAGGATGAAAAGGGAAAAGAGAGTGTAGATGTGTTTATGTATGAAGAATTTAATAAGCAGAATAACAGTCATTTAATTGAGAAACCACCAGACATATGTGTGTGTTTATTTTAGTGCCAAAACCCGTAGCTATATATTCTTAAAGAACCTTTCAAGTTACAGCACATTAAAATAGAGCACTGGTATGCAAGCCTTAATGCCCATTTTGGCAAAATCTAGCCAAATCTATGTACATGGAACCATTAGCTTTTTGGTTTTGCAGGTAGGTAGCTGGTTGTGGGCCCTGGGCTGCTCCTATTTCTCAGGTGAATAAACAGCTGATGGGAAAAGGAATTCTGTTTCCTCTTTGCTGACTTCCTCTCCCTCTCCTCCCACTCTGACCCCTTAAGCTGCTGCCACTGCCTATCCTGCTCTGGTCTCTGTCAGCAGCTTAACCAGCCACAGCAGCTGCAGTAAGGATGACCAGTAGCAGAGATTCTCATATGGCTTGAATATAGTGTTCAAGCAACATCCAAATCACCTAATGTGCTATTCATAGCATGTATGTGGACATTAAGAGAGGCACACATCCTTACAACTTTAAATTAAAAATATTAGTGCAATCTGCTCAATAAATAGGAAATGTTAAAGACATCTATCAAAGATTTATATTCAAACTGGTTTTATTAGCGCTAAAAAGGCCGAACTGTGCCCTCAGGGAAAATTAGCTATTCAGTCATTTCAAGAGTTCCAGACAGCTGTTACCTTCTTATGTAAGAAAACCTAATTCCAGTGTCAAATATTATTTTTAAGAGAGTAGCACTACAAAGGAGAAATAAAGTTTGAGATGGTTATGGAAAAAAAAGAAACATTTTGAAAGACACTGAATGAGCTATTTGCGACAGGGGTGAATAACATAATAAGCAAAGTAAGAGCATGCTTACTTTGTAGTTCACACTGGAAGAGTCCCTAAATATAACAGCTACAAGCGCAATGTTTTCAAACTGAAACACCCAAACTGGACCTGGATCACTTTTCAGAAACTTTAGTGGAGTGTAAAAGTGAAACATACACACAAAACTCCAAAGTAAGAGTACTTGGATATATTTATTGGGGTGTTCCGTTAGGATTGGTGGACGATCTATCAACAATCTGCGTTATGCACATGACACAACCTTGCTCGCTGAAACTGAGGAGGACCTCATGCACTTACTGCAGAGGGTCAAGGACTGCAGCCTTCAACATGTACTGAGGCTCAATGTCAAGAAGACAAAATTTCTCACCACTGGACCCATCGGTAGCATCAGGATGGATGGCGAAGAGATTGAGATTGTTCACAGCTTCAGTTTGCTCGGCTCCACGGTCAACACTCTTGGCACCGGTAGCCAGGAAATCAAAAAACGTATTGTGATGGGAAAGTCTGCAGTTAGGGACCTCTCTAAAGTACTCAAGAGCAGCGAGCGGTGTCTCTCTGGAGACTAAGGTCCACCTGATACAGGCCATGGTTTTTGCAATAACTTGTTATGCATCAGAGAGTTGGACAATGACTAGGGAGGATAGAAGGAGAATTGACGCCTTTGAGCTGTGGTGCTGGAGAAGAATATTGATTGTACCATGGACTGCCAAGAAAACAGATTCATTCTAGAGAGGGTTAAACCAGGCTGCTCCTTGGAGGCAAGGATTCTGGGGCTTCATCTGACATACTTTGGACATGCTGTAAGGAGAGACAGGTCTTTAGAGAGGGACATCATGCTGGGTAGAGTGGAGGGACAGCGCAGGAGGGGAAGACCCTCTATGAGGTGGCTTGATTCAGTGACTGGGGTAATCGGGATGGGTCTGCTGGAGGCAATGAGATTGGCACAGGATAGAGCACGGTTTAGGGCTGTTGTACATAGGGTCACTATGAGTCATAAACGACTCGACGGCACATAACAACAACAACAAAAATATAAAGCAATAAAATTGTGAGTTTAATTATTGTTTATCAAGATGAAGAGAGAAGATGAGTATATAAAAAGCATAAACTTTCCAGGAAAAAGAGTTTCCTACAACGATTATAAAGGAAAGAAACAACATAAATATACCAATGTGACATTTTTACAAACAAAACCAAGACTCTCAACATTAATCAACCACAAAAATAAAAATAACAGCACAATACACTTTAAACAATTACATTTACTATTTACTACATATGCTTACTATCTTCCAAGAAATTAATTAAAAAAATAATTTTACTATCCCTACATTATCTTCTCAGTTAATTTAAAAATATGCTTTTTGTTTAGGATGCTAAGACATCATGATTGAACACCTGAATAACACTCTGGCACTACTGTTGTCTATTACTCTCAAAAGCTGGATTATCAACAAAGGTCAAGTGAAAGGCGGGGGGAGAGTATCAATTGTAAAACTGAAAATAATCCTACCAGTGTACCAGCCTAACATCAGCTAACGCCAACATTGAGAGCTTTTAATGTTTAAAAAGAAGTATTCTGAATGAAATCCATAATGAAACAAAACAGCATCTAGCGTACTAGAGGCCTACATATAAAATAACAGCCACATTCTCGTAGCCATGAACTTACTGAGCAAAAGGAGGCAGTTCTTCTGAACAAGAAGGCGCTTGGTCACATCCCCGGACGTCAGCGAAAGATACGGGCAGTTCATTTCCCCCAGCAGCCCACTCACCTCTAGCTGGAACTCTTCAGCTTCATTCGGGCCTTTGAAGAATGAAAGTATTATTTAATAATACTGTTTTCCCATTAGCATGTAAGTATTATTACATGTAAACTGAAAAATCCTCATAAGCTAACTCCTACCTAGAGTTCCTTTCCTTTCCTTTCTTTTTCATCTTTTCTTATACCACTGCCAATTTTTTTCTTAAACACTGTTTTCATTATGGTATTATTTGAGACTATTTCATGGCTTCCTAATTTCTATTTCATCTAATTTCCTCTCTCTGCCATTAAAGATTCTTTATAGCCTCTCCAGCATATCATTCAGAGCACAATTACTGTCCCTGATAACAATCACAAACATTCCCTCTACAATGTCAGTCACTCACTTTACTTCCATGTCTTCACCTAATTCAATTCTGTGACTGATACACCCTCTTCTAGTTCATTTTCTACTAAAGTCATTTACAATAAAACTCCAGTTGCATTGCTCTATGATGAAACTCCAAAAAGAAAAGAAAAAAAAGAAACTCCACCACTTCTTGTTGACCAGTTGCCTTCCTGCCATGGACTGCCTGCTGCTATCATGCTGGAAGCCAGGGCACCAATTTCAAATACTAGCAGGGTAACCCAGGGTTCATCAGAGCCTCCAAGCTAAGACAGACTAAGCAGCAGGCCTGCCCAGCCACTTCTGAAACAACGGACCCTTGAAAACGCTATGAGTAATATTGGAACATTCCTTGGTATTGTGCTAGATGAGGAGCTCTCAGGCTGGAAGGCACTCAAAATACAACTGGTGAAGTATGGAACTGCCTTAAAGTAGACTTAATGACATGGAGTAAAGCTTTCGCCTAGCCAAAGACCTTCATTTGCCGATGTGGAAAAATTAAAAAGAAAAAGAAACAGCGGCAAACATCCATTAATAACTGGAACATGGAAGGCACAACTCATGAATCTGAGAAAATTGGAAATTGTCAAAAATTAAACGGAAGATGGCGCTGTAAAAGAAGGAAACCTCTGCCCCTACCCAAATTGAAGCCAAAGCAAAGGTATTTAAGGCCAAGAGGGCAGTCCTGAAGGGCATCCACAGCCACCAAAAACACAAGATCTGCACATCATCTACCTTCTGGCAGCCTAAGATGCTGAGACTCTGAAGGCAGCCCCAATACTCCAGGAAGAGCATCCCCATAAGAAACAAGCTTGACCACTATGTCATCATCAAGTTTCCCCTGACCACTAAGTCAGCCATGAAGAAGATAGATTTAAAAACACACTTGTGTTCATTGTGGATGCCAAGGCCAACAAGCACCAAATCAAACAAGCTGTAAAGAAGCTGACATTGATGTGATTAAGGTCAATACTGTGATTCTGCCTGATGGAGAAATGAAGGCCTATGTTTGGCTTGCTCCTGACTATGATGCTTTGGATGTTGCCAATAAAACTGAGATCATCTAAACTGAGTCCAGCTGGCTAATTCTAAATACAAATCAATCAAATCTCTCTCTCTCTCTCTCTATCTCACACACACACACACACACACACACACTCACTCTTAAATGGAACCCATAAAGACTGACAACCTAGACTTGAGTGAATTGAGATAGACTGTTATTGGCCATTCTGAATTAGTCAATGATATAATCTACTTATGCTGGAAATGAAAATTGAAGAGGAATGGTGCCCTATTCATCATCAAAAAGAACATCTTAAATCTACCCTGAAGCACAATGCTGCAAGTGATAAAACAACTTCAATGCACTGAAGAGAAAGATCTGTTGATATAACTATTATTCAAATATATACACCAACCACTAAAACTAAAGATGCAGAAATTGCAGATTTCTCTCCTCTTTTGCCTCTGAATTGTTCATAAGGGTTTTCAAAGGCCAGTTATTTCAGAAGTGGATGACCAGGTCTTCTTCTTAGTCTGAAGACTATAATGGATGTCAGAAAGACTGAATTGTTCAGTAGGGCATAAAGACAAAACAAAGGGAAAAGACGCCAAAGTAAAAGACACGGCATGAAAATCTGAATGGGCAACTTGAGAAGACAAAGTATTATAAAGGAATGTGCAAAGATCCAGAGTTAGAGAATTAAAAAGGAGAAACTAATTTGGCATTTCTCAAACGAAAAGAACTGAAAAAGAAATTCATGCCTTGAGTTGCAATAATGAGAGACCCTATGCGAAAAACTCTGAATGACCCAGGAAGCTTCAAAAGAAGGTGGAAGGAATATACAGAATCACTCTACAAAAAAGAATTGGTCAGTATGGAAACATTTCAGGAAAGAGCATATTAACACAAGCCAGTGGTGATGAAGGAAGATGTTCAAGCTTCATTTAAGGCACTGGTATGGAATACTATGCTGCATTGAAAAACAAGGAACTCATGTAATATTATTCAAAATGGGTG